ATACCATTATCTGATAACAGTGTCATCGAAAAATCTCTCGGTATATTTTGTAGAATTTTATTTATATAGAAAGACATTTTTGTTTTCTGTATTTATTTAGGTAAACAAGATATCATTTGTGCAGAAGATCTTGTTCATGAGATTTTTACTGTTGGAGATAGTTTCAAAAAGGCTTCAAACTTTCTCTGGCCATTTAAACTCAACAATCCAAAAGGTATTTGAAATAAAAAAAAAATATGTTTAATTTTAATTATTTTTTTCTTCTTTGATTGAATAGGTGGATGGCGAAAGAAAGCTAATCACTTCGCTGATGGAGGTGATTTTGGAAACCGTGAACAATATATTAACCGATTGTTACGTAAAATGGTTTAGACGTGTTTCGTTGATTTTTCACGTTCTATACATTTGTTAACAACAGCATGAAAATAAAAACAAAAAGAATAATCGTTATTGTTTTGTTTTTTCTTGTCGATTTAAATACATTCGAAGAAAATAAAACACAAGAAGATAAGAATTGAAAATTTTCGTCTATTTAGTATAATAAAACTATCCTAACTAAATTCTGATCAATGATGATATTCAATATTAAGATTTTGATTTAAGTTTCAGCTTCAAAATAACGATAGAATCATGTTTAGACTTTCTATTATCGATGAGTTATATTTAAGGTTGAAGATATGGACAAGATATTATGTATGAAAAATTACAATGTTTGTTAAAGTTGGATGTATTTCGATAATAACGAATTTTTGTATTGCAGAAAGATAATATTGATAGACAATGGCATGTCTGGATTGAACCATTGATGAACAATAGAAACTTCGAATAAACCTTTATATATTCAAGACAATTTCATTCTAATCTTTTCTTGCTAAACGTAAAGTAAATGCCAGTTTACCTTTTATTTCAATTGACGCTAAGAAAGAAACTAGATTCTTCTCGTCTCTGCTAATAGAAGAGTGTGATATCCATAACTCAAATTAATGAACATAATAAATCTATTGAAGGTAACAAGAGACAACAGTTGGTATACAAGAATTGGACTCATTGAAAACTAGTTTCGTGCAGATTTCAGATCAATCTTGGTAGAAGATAATCTAGAAAGATCGTCGTAATATCAAATGAGGTATCTTATACAAACGGCCACGGAAAAAGAATATATCGAATGCAAAAGTTCTTATAAAAATATAGCAAAAATAACGATAACTTCTAAGTCTTTTGTCATATATCTTATTTTACAATTAATATATTTACAGAATAATTCGCTGCTAAAAGCCTACATAGTTAAAATTATTCTGGTAAATAATATAACAATATTCGGCTTGTTCGCAGTAACGCGCACTCACATTGTATTATGAAGCTCTTTGAAAGCTCTATTTTAGTGGCTTTGAGAACAACTACAAGTCGTTTGCTGATACCAAGCTGTAGACTTAGTATCGATATGTCTGCTGATGCCTTTATTTTCACCATAGACAAAACAGATGTCAAAATAAGACACGAAACAAAAGCGCGTTTTTAAGCAGTTTTTGCTCGAAAATAGTTAATATTTGCTGGCAATTATCATTTCTTTTAATAATTTTTGAAAACTAATGAGACAGATCAACGCAGAATATTCATAAACCTGATTAAAAACTTCGAATGAAGGTGATTGCTCGTTTCATGTTCGAGAATTTTAAAAATATAACTTTAAAACGCTGCTTGACCGTTAGTCGGACAAGCCGTATTACATTTCCTAGAAAATATCAGCTCTCTTTTTACAGATGAAATTCTTCGTTCTTCAAAAATATACTTGTTACACAGACGTTATATGCAAAAAAGTTCGTGAAAAGACTAGTTCTTATGCATATTCAAGGTGTATTCACTGCTAAACTATTACCAATAGAGGGAATGTTTCGAATACGTGGCGAAAAAAGCTCTTCAAGTATCAGGATAAGAACAATGAACAAGCATTTTTAAAAGAGCTTCTATATCTATGGGTTCTGAAATGAGACACAATATATTTTTTCTTTTACAGAAGATTAATAATTTTCATGAGTAAAACAAATTATTCATCATACCATTTTTGTAATTTTATTTATTATTAGCTTGAATAGTAACATGACAAGCAAATATATATGTATAAAGATTTGTCATTAAAACAATAGTCCATCATTCTATGGAAAACAAAAATATATGTCATTCGTCCAGCTCTTGTAATTAACTAATTGTTTACCACTCATGTAATTTTAGACCTATCACTAAATGTCTTTATATCCATGTCAGTTGCCATTTCTGTAAGCTTTTTCATTACCCAATTCTACATTTGATAAATAAGCTTAATGACAACTTAATAATACACTTGAGAAAAGTTTCACTAATAATCAGGCACGCGACTACTACTATTTACAACTCTCATATTCTGTCTCTAAACACTTGTATTGAATAGTTTATAATACCAAACTGATATAAATCATATTTATAGTTGAGTTTATTTTTTAGTTCATAAAACTGCAAAACATTTATTTTAATAATCAAAAAAGTCGAAAAAAGAAAAAAAACTCAGCCTAGCCCTATTGATTCACAGAAAAACGTAATAATACACATCCAAAACACACATATACATATATGTAAAATCATTAAATTAATCAGAAGAAAAAAACCGGAAGAAAGTTTAATATTGATTTAAATAAAAGTAGCTTTGCGTAAAAGATTATGAAGAAGAGATTTTTTTTGTACATCTTGTTGTTGTGTTGTTGGTGGCTTAACAATAACAACACGTTGTGTTGTTCCATTTGTTGATATTCGTTTTGATTCTGATGATAAATTAGCAGCACGTTCTTGTAAACGTCTAAAATTTCATTATTTAATATACTATTAAAATTTATTAAAATTTTTACTTTGTTAAATCTTCAATATCAACAAGTATTGAATCTTGTTCCATACTTAAAGAATCTCTGTCCATTAGAAGTTTAACTAATTCTTCATTATAACCTTAAATCGAATAATAAGTTTTCTTTTATTGGGAAAAAAAACGAAAAACATACTTTCGATTTGACAATGTAAATCATTCACAATAATCTGTAATTGTCCAATATTCATATCTTCAAGTATTCGAAGTGATAATGGTTTATCACCATTAGTATTAATACCAATCTTTAATAAATACAAGAAGAAATTTAATATGACGAAAAGAATTATTTAACATACAATATCATAAAGCGGAGATTTTTTCTTTTTTAAAACTCGTCGTTCGATTTGTACTTGCATTCGAGCCATTTTTGCACCAAGTACAAGAGCGACTTTAGCTTCTTCCTTTAAAAACAAAAGAAAATCAAATAAGAAAAAATGTTTATTTTATTTTACTTTTAATCTTTGTTGTTTAGTAAGAATATCTTCATCATTATTTGCTGTTGCTGATGAAATAATTTCATCTGTTTTTGAATTTTTCAATCTTGTTTTTGAATTTGTTGAAACCTTGAAAACAAAAAAATATTCTTTAAAATAATGAAAAAACTAAACTTTCTTACCACATCATTATCAGACGATTCATTTGCTTGATGATGTTCGTTAACAAAACATATTTGTAAATTTGAGCCTGTAAAATCATAAGTATTCTCACTTGTATTATTTGCCATTGGAAATTGCAATTAATAAGATGGATAAAAAAGGATTCCTATTTTCCTGTCTATTTACAAACGAACAAAACAGTAGGAAATATCCTAAGACAAATGTTCCTTTCTTTTTTTTCCCCTATACCACATGTCTATCTATCTCCCGCCTTTCTAAGTGTCATTCACTTTCTATGTAAAGACTAATCATGATTGATGATATCGTCTTCATTACGACCGATGTATTAAAGGTGTCGATAGACATATTATTAAGTTTACTCTAATTTCATTTTTTTTTACCTTGTCGACGCCGATGTGATGTTGTGATCATTGTTTTTTTTATATAATCTGATGTATAATAATCTTCATTTTCACCTTCAGATTCATTTCCCGCTGCTAATTTGCGTCGAATTTCATCACGATCATTTAATCGAGCCTTTGATAAAAAATAAAAAAGAATTTATCAGAGTCGCATGTTTCTACTTATCGAACAGCATGACGGAATAAAACAACGACCTTCTCTCTATATCGCTTACATGCAAACACTCATGCCACTTCCAATTTACCATAATTTTTAGTTA